GGAAGGATTTGCCGCAGAACTTGCAGAGGACGACACCGGAGGTTGGATCGGAGTGGGCCGCGAGCTCGAGGTCCATAGGCTCGATCGTACCCGCAGCGGGGTAGTGGGCCTCGCTCGGCAGATGCATACCCGTCTCGAGGCCCAACTGCGCCTGCAGCTGCAGATGGGCCGCCTGCTCGCGGTACTTGAGCGACTCGAGGCTGTGCGAGAGGATGTGCCGCGTCAGCTTGCTCTGGTGGAGGAACGAGGCACCGCAGTACATGCACGCAAACACCCGCTCATCCACACCCATCAACTCCTGCAACCAAACAAACAAGAACATCAACTTCTTGTCTTTCCTTTCCTCCTATTAACCCTCTCTCTCTCTCTCTCTCTCTCTCTCTCTCTCTCTCTATCTCTCTCTCTCTCTATCTATCTATCTATCACTCTTTCATTCTCTTCCATTCTCTATGTGTATTCTCTCTTTTTCTAGACTAATATCTCTACTTTTTTTTAGTTTTCTATCATTCTCTTTTTCTTCTCTCATTGATCTTTATTCTCGAGATCTCTTTTTCGTTATTTTTTTTTTACATTTTTTCTAATCATCTCTTTCTCTCTCTCTCTTTCTCTCTCTCTTTCTCTCACTCTCTCTCTCTCTCTCAACTATCTACTATGGGTACTACTCGTCGTCGACAGATGCGAGAACGTATTGTACCATTTCAAATAATTATTACTAAACAATTTTCATTTTATTTTTATTTTCTAACGTGTTCCTCCTTCTCCTCCTCCTCCTCCACAATAGAGATAAAAAAAAAAAAAGAAAAATAATACGCAAACAAGGCTTCGTTCGTTAAACTCCGAGGGTAGGTAGGTATATTTCGCATTCCTGTCTTTGCTCAAAGTTTCTCGTTCATTCACACACATTTTCTCTCTCTTTCTCTTTCTCTCTTGGAGGTTCTCTCTCTCTCTTTCTCTCTATCTTTCTATCTCTATCTTTCTTTCTTTCTCTCCCTCTCTCTCTCTCTCTCTCTCTCTCTCTCTCTCTTTCTCTCTCTCTCTTTAACCGATAATTCACTATGTTCGGTGGAAGAAGTGTCTCTGTACGCTGAGAGGTTGTTGCCCTCCCTCTCAGATCGTACGTGAAACGTTAGCACAAGAAGTTGACGCTCATTTTTGTTTGGCGCGGCGCGCACCCTGTGTTTTTTTTTTTACTGCTTTTTTTTTCGAGACATTTTTTTGTTATACTTTTTCTTTTTTCTTTCGATAATTCATGAATTAATAATAATAATAATAATAATAATAATAATAATAAAAATAATAATAGTAATAATAATAATAATAATAATAATAATAAATACGAATGCTCGAATGTGTCGTTTGTAATAATATAATTCCTTTTGTTATGTTTATCTTTCCATATTTCTTTTCTTTTTTTTTTTTCTTGACAGCATTATCACACACGTGTATGCATATGGATTTAAAAATATATAAATACATATATGTATATATGGAAGGGATCACGACGACGATATCCGCAGCTTTCACTCCAACAACAAGCCGCCCCCTCCCACCCGCCGGACCACACGCCTCGTCCCTCCAACACCCTTCTCCGACGCGTTTTCTGGCACGTGCACCCCCGCAGCCGAAAATGCCCAAATATTTTACATTTCGTTTCTTTATTTTTTCTTTTTTTTTCCAAATTCTTTCTTTTCTTTCGTTTATTTATTTATTTATTTAATTATTTTTATTCGTCTTAGCAAAAGGCAATTTAATTTGCATTCAATCAAAAAAACGACAATCGAAATACAAATAAAGTAGAAAAAAGTAATAATGGGAGATAATGATAAATGTCTATATATATGTATATATATATATATACATATATGTATACATATACAAACATACATATATGTATAACGTTATGCCAAATGAATACGTATACATAGATATGCATGTGTGTGTGTGTGTGCATAATATCCATACATACATATACATATTTATATGTATGTTCTTTAACACATTTATATGTATTGAATCGAATAATATATACATAGAGATATGTATATATAGAACAATATATCGTTTAATGAAATGTGATGCGCAACGTGTACGTATGTATGTATATAATAAATACACGCGTATATGTAAATATATATATTTATATACATACATAGATACATACATACATACATACATACATACATACATATATATGTAAACGTAGTAAAAAAACAACCATGGCCAAAAACGAAGGTCAACTTCTTGACAGTGAGCTAGCAAGACAGGCTGGCAGGATAGGAAACCAAAAAAAAAAACATGGATATTGTATGTGTTTTGCTGGCTTAGTAATCTCCTTTTTCTTTAACATGGATGCGTGGGAGAGATAGGAGAAGGACTGAGAAAAAGAGAAAAAAGAGAGAGAGAAAGAGAGATATAGCAAAAGAGTAAGTGTGTATGAGAGTGTGTGTGTCAGAGAGAGAGAGAGAGAGAGAGAGAGAGAGAGAAAGATGGTAGTGCTTTGAGCAGCGTTCGTCGATTTAGCACTTTCAAAAGCACCGAGAAAGAGAATAAGCGAAAGGAAAAGAGAAAGAAAAAGAGAGTGTGAGAGAGAGAGAGAGAGAGAGAGAGAGAGAGAGAGAGAGAGAGAGAGAGAGTAGGGAATTCGAGTTTGGATAAAGAAGAAGCATGGCTCCGTAGAGTAATGCCTTCGTGAGATGCGCGCCTGTGTGCGCATATAAAAGGAAAATAGAGTAAAAGAGAGAGATAGATAGATAGAGAGAGAGAGAGAGAGAGAGGAAAGAGGTAGGGAAAGGGAATGTGAACGCACGCGAGAAAGGGTAGAGAAAAAGGGGTGAGTTCGTTTAGAGGAAGTAGAAGAACGTTTGGATATACGAAAAAGATAGAGACAGCGAGAGGGATAGTAAGAAAGATAGAGAGAAAGAAAGAGAAGCTTGAATAGATCAAATAGAGAGAGACAAGGATAGAATTAGAGAAAGAAATGGATAGATTGGGAGTGTTAGAAAGAGATAGAGAAAGTTGAAATTCGTAGAAACGTCGAAGGCAAAATACTGGATATTTTTTAGGATGTAGGTGGAGTGAATTAGTTTGGAAAAGAGAGATAGATAAATAGATGGATAAATAGATAAAGTAGATAATATAGATAGATATATATTTATGTGTATATAAATATATAAATAATTCGGCAAAAGTATATATATATATATAGTATATAGTATATATATATATATATATATATAGAGACATGCACGATATTTTCTTTTCTTCATTTTCTTTAACCAATTTTTATGTTATATTATATTTTTCTTTTTTTTTTTGTTTCACACAATCGTACGCATATATCTGTTTTATTATTATTATTATTATTATTATTATTATTATTATTATTATTATTATTATTATTATTATTAAATATTTTAATTTTTATTAGGAATGCGACGAATAGGTAGAATCTTTAGAAGAGGAAGCCTATCAATTCGCCAACTAATCGTGAGTAAGCTTTAAGCTTTCATCGATTCTTCTTTCAAAGTCGGTGAATTACCGCGAGAACACACTAGTCTTACGTTAAATAAACTTATACATTTATAATTCCCGAGATTACAACGATGTTCGAGATTGCGAGAAATTCATTAACGAAAGTATGTATTGTATTTAATGTCAATAAGTGAAATATACTTTTACGCGAAGTGAGGACTACAAAATATTTATTTATTTATTTATTTATTTATTTAATTTTTGTTTTATGATTAGGTTTCACACATATGCCGTCTCTATTATAATTTTTAATTAAACAAAATATTTTATGAATATTTTTCGAAATATTTTCGTACTTTTTTTTTGTATTTTTGTATTTTTTTTTTTTATCTGATGTTAGAGCAGGGAGAGCAGCAAACAGCAAAGCATTTGGGCACATGCAAATAGACCCACATGCAAGTGAATTCGATATATATAGAGAGAATATAGAATATAATAATATATAATAATAATAATAATAATAATAATAATAATAATAATAATAATAATATATAGAGATAATATATATAATAATATAAATACGTAGCAACGTGTATAAAATCATCATTCTCGACGAATTATTAGCTTTTTGTATTTTTGATTGATTTATTTAAGTATTATTTTTACTATTCGCTTTTTAATGAACGTTAGATAATATTTGAAGAAGAAGGGATCGAAGGTTTACGATCGAAACGATCTCGCGTGTTTGTCGACGATCGTAGTACCAGAGTTGCGTTCGATATTTTAATCGATATAATGCAACTATTAATATAATATATACATATATATTTGTAATCTAATAAATATATATATATATATATATGTATATAATATATAGAGAGATGTTTATAATATAATATATTTATATAAATGCAGAGCAAAGAGACACGAGAATAATAATAATAAAAAAAAATAGTATTAGTCAATAAAATCGTAATCTTTATGTACAAGATGACTTTAAGAGGAGTGTCAAGAAAATATCGAAGACATATTATTCTTAAACGATTAACACTAAATCCGTTAATTTCTAATAACACACACACACACACAGATAGAAGAAGAAGAAGAAGAAGAATAAGAAGAATAAGAATAAGAATAAGATTCAAATAAATAATGAAACAAAAATCATTTGACAATCCCCCTTTGATAATCGGCCTGTACATCGAGATATTTAAATAAATATTAGCTTGTTCGATTAAGTAATCTCATTTTATAATTATTTCAATTTTATCTTATTGATAACTTCATGATTTTATTCTCATCTTCATAAATTGCAAGTGGTGCATATTGATATCGTTAAATGAGATTAATGAAATATTGATGGAAAAAATGATATTACTTTTCGAACAAACTAAATACACGTATAGAATAATGTACGAAGTGGGAGAAGAAAAAGGAGTTTAGAAAAAAAAATATATATAAATATATATATATATAAATATATATATATATATATGTATGTATATAAGAGAAAATGAAGATGGACTCACCGGATCTGGTGGGAGTCTGTAGTCCGTGGATATTTCACTGCTTGCACTCCGTTCCTCGGTCGATCTTTCCCAGTCCATTTCCTTTTTCAACGACTGCAAATGGCGCGTCTTAAGTTTACATCGAATATATATATATATATATATATATTTCTACGGGACGATGAGATTAAAGGAGAGAAATAAATATGGAAATTGGTTGGAAGGAAAGATATTTCACGGTTATTATATGTTACGCGCGTATATTCGTGACCGATATTACAATCCTCTAAGATATTTTTATATTTTTACCTTTCCAATAGTTGTGTTTTCATAATTTTTGTTCAACAAGGGAAGAGCCCGAATGACAGGACACAGATTTTTTATTTTTTGGTTTAGATTCTACAGAATTGTGTAGGAGTCCAGTAGAAAAGCAGTAAGATCTCAATATTTAATCGTTTCCAAGAAAACAAAAGGGGAAGTTTCATATTCATTTTTATATAACAGATTATTTTGTGTTAGATGGGAAAATAAATTTTGTCCAAATTAATTTAAAGAAACGAAAAATTATACAATAGAAAAAATATACACGAGAGGTCTGAAATATACTGATTGTTAGCTTAATATATAACGGTGGGTTGAAAAGTTTTGAGCCTACCACTAGGAGGACTGCAATAAATCTCAACAACTATGTAGAATTTAAAAAAAAAAAATCGGCATCCTGTCAACTCGACCTTCCCATTACAAGTAAAATTTGCAACAAGTGAATTTATTATTTTATTTAATTTTAATCTAATAAATTAATATATAAGCCTAAGGTAATATTTTGCATACGAAGTATTTCGTAATACGCCGGACTTTGTTTCAAAGTTATTGCCACATTTGTGTTCCAATAATCCTCGACAATTTATCTTCAGAGATAAATGCTCGAAATGACCATCCCCCGGTCGGTTTGTATTTATAAATAGTGCCCACAAATTACGAAACACCTTGTATATTAGGAAAACTCATCCTCTTTAAAACAATAGAAACTTATAATAGATAGTTAAACATTTAAAAAAAAATGATAAGCACTTAAAGATTTATTTTCACATCAAAATTATCGGTCGCGAAAATGATAAAAAAAAAATCAAAGTTAGTTTAGTATACTTACAAGTGGAACTTGTTGAACAGGGGGTAGACCAGATGGGCCTGCGAGTGGTTCGGTACTGTGCGGGGACGGAAGTCGGTTCTGCGGTAAGTTCAAAGGTAATACACCAGGTGTACCAGTGGTGTTGTTGCTCAGGCTCATGTCGGATGGACCACTGTGTACCGAGATGGGACTGAGGGATCCTCTAGTTTCTTCGAAGCTAGCAGCATCCTCGGAATCCCTTCTTGGTCGATCGAGAGCAAGGGGACCAGGACAGGGACTACCTGGTCCCGTTGGTGATACTGGACAATCCGTCATATCGACGGCTTCGACCGAATCGCTCGTCGTTCCTTGCGGATGATTTTGTTGTTGTTGTTGTTGTTGTTGTTGCTGTTGCTGCTGTTGCGTTTGCAACTGCTGTTGCGATTGCAATTGCTGTTGCGTTTGCAATTGCTGTTGCTGTTGCTGTTGCGTTTGCAATTGTTGTTGTTGTTGTTGTTGCTGTTGCTGTGTCTGTTGTTGCTGTTCGGCGGAAGAATCTTTCGTGCCTTGACTGGACGTCGTCGCGCCGGCCGAGGCCGCCGTCGCGACGCCTTGAACGTTTCCCTCGATTCTACTATCCCTCTCGTTAACTTTCCCACCGCAACTATTACTATCCTTTATACTATCACGTTCTCGATGGTGTTGTTCTCGCGATGATTCCCGCAATAAACACTCCGAGCTTCGATCGTGTTGTTGCGATTGTTGTTGTTGCGATTGTTGTTGTTGTTGCTGCTGTTGAGCCTGTAGATTTTGTTGTTGGGATTGCGATTGCGATTGCGATTGTTGCTGTTGCGTCTGTTGTTCCTCTCGCGAAGCGACCGCAGCATTGATGTTTGTCATGTCCGCTAGACCCTTAACCTTTAGGCTCTCCGCTGTCTTGAGAAGTGCCGAGAGCTGGCAGTACTCGACGTTTACTTCGCCCTTGTACATGAAGTCGACGAGGGTACGTAATTCGGCGAAACGTACGTCCTTTAGGATGACGATGGGGTGACGGTTCGGATGGTCTAGGAACAGGGCCTGGAAGTAGCTGGAGCACGCGGAGAGGACTACCTTGTGGGCGCGTATCGATGGTCCCTCCGTGCACGCCAGTGTCACGTCCACCAACGACTCAGACTCCAGCAGTTGACTGAACACACCCAGCAAGTTGCTCTGATGATTGTTCCACCTCAGGCAGTAATGCTCACTTCCCATGTCTGAACTGCACCCCGCGACCCTGCTGCAAACAAAAAAAACACACACATTTTTTTTTCTCTCACTTTTTACAATTCAACTTTTGTCCTATACGCGTTCGATTTTTTTCGAGTTCCTGTACCGTTAAAACGGCGAGTGTTTTTTCTTTTCAAAAAAATAAAATGTTCGGATGAACGCACGCGTTTACGTTGGATTCTAATGATCGAAGTAACGTAAGAGCTTTTTCTTAAAAAAAAATTTGATTTTTGTTAGATTATATTGTAGTTCTCGTTGAAAGATTGCTTCTTACTCGTTCGAATTCTTTCCTGTTTTCGAAACGTTACGAACGAATGGATGAATCGTCTTGCAATACGGAATACAGGATCGCCTAAGAATATAAAAGCGGGGAAAATATAGGATTTCTTTTTTTTTTTAAATTATATATTTGAAAGAGAAACGGGAACAATTTCTTAATAGTCGTATGCTTGACTTTTTTGTTTGTTACAAATACACGAACCGTCCTGTCCTTCGCCATTAGATGAATCTGCGCACAAAAGATATTTAAAAGTAAGCTCGGGATGAAATCTTTGTCAATTTTCGTTCGAGGACAATTTCCAGATATCATCCTAATGGTTATAAAACCTGAAAAAATATCAACGAAATGTATTTTTCCAAGAGTTTTCGTGTTTTCTAATTTCTCTAAAGAGGAAGATCATCACGTTTCAAAGATAAAGTATTTTATTTAATATTTACATACTCTATAAAGGATAAGTTTTCGAAGAAAGAGAATCTTAAAATTGGACGAGTGATTCAATAGAAAGAAAGGAACACCGTTTATCGATCAAAATGTGTTCAACGTTTCTCTTGAAGCTTTGAACGGGACAAACACATTTTCCTTATTCGATTTTAACAACGAGCGACGCGCAAACATCGATAATCGCAACGAATGTACGGTTTATCCGATGGCTTCTAAAAGCAACTGATGTGAGTTAGTGAGTGTAAGAGAAAAAGAGAGAAAGAGATAGTATTACTCTCTCTCTCTCTCTCTCTCTCTCTCTTTTGGTGTGTGTGTACGTGTGTGTGTGGTGTGTGAAGTGCGCGCGCAAGTGAACACGTGGAGATGTAGGAATGATATCAGTTGACGATGCGAGCTTATCTTTTATTATTCCTTCCTGTTCGAGCGTATTTATTGGTGTGCCTAATGCGTGAACGCCATGCACGCACGTGTCGCGGACATGTGCGAGCTAGTCGAAAGAACACGCATACACGTAATTATGTCAGAACTCGTGCGAGTAACGTTTATTCGCGTGACATATTCGCGGATCTATGCGCTTGATGGCGTGTCTATGTACCACTGCGCAATACTCGCGTGATATACCTTTCAAGCTTGCTTGCTTGCTTGCTAACTCTTATATATTTTATTTTCTTGGCTAAACATACTCTTTCTAATAATATATATATATATAAAATAAATATATACGTTTGTATATATGTGTCTCTATGCGTGTAGATATTATAAAATTATCGTAGAAAAAACTTTGGAAAGTATGGCACGATCAAGCGTGACGATATAGCTCTTTCCTTTTATATTTATTTTCTATTATATATTTATTATTAACTTTTCTCGATGTGTACGAGTTTTACAACTTCTTTTGTTACCTTCTCCTAAATCCCATAGCCCAACTTTTTTTTTATTTCTTTAATCGCAATATGTGTAACTTTTTGTTTATATGTTTGATCAAACACAAACGATCGTATTAAATCGAATAAAATGAATAGTTAAGAATGCTATCTTTACGCTAACCACTTCTCGAAAATCACTCGACTGATAATTTGATATATTCGATATATTCTTAGATTATTAATATAATATATATTATGTTACTGGGGGAGTTTGCTATTGGATTTTAGATTCTATATCGATAACGTTTAAAACCACGAGTTACAACAACGAGTTAATTGCGATCTAATTGTTACGTAATCTAACTCATCACTTCTCAAGTATAAATTAGAGTAAGCAAAGTATGTTAGTTCTGTATTAAACGTACCGACGTCGAAAATAGATGACGCCTGTAATACGGGCAACCCTTTCTACAAGCTCGCAATAATATTAGTGTCAACGAACCGTTGGGGTGGGGTATTTTATTTTTTTTTTGTTTTTTTACGTGGGTGTTTTATTAAATTTCTTTTTACTTTTACTCGCGAATGAGATATCCTTGTTTGTTTGTTTGTTTGTGTTTTTATTTTTTTTATTTTGTTTTTGTTATTTTGCAGAGAATTGTAAAGCTCGTTGATGGTTGCATAAGGTCCTCCTCCTGAACGAATAAGCATCGCATACGTATTCCGTTATTTGTGTCATTTCAGAGGTTTTCTTTGGGTCAATCCGTTTAGGATGGCTGGCACGCATGTGTGTTAAACTACAGACACGCGTTACGAAATAGACAGGCGATACACTTTCAGCTGTGAGAGCTTTTTCGCCAACGTCTGTCTTACTACGCGTGTTAAAATAATTTCAAACGAAAAGAAAAAAAAAAAAAAAACAAAGAAAAACATAAAACACGATAAGTATCCAACGATATTAATTACTTTTTCTCATATTTTCTTTTTTTTATTCGTCCAAGATGCAAATTATTATTACAAAAAAAAAAAGATACTAAATGTCGAATGAGATCTTTCATCGATTTATTTCAATTAAACACAAAATCGAATTTATAGCTTAAAGAGAAAAAAAATGAATCAATTAATTATTAATTCAATTCGATGATCGTTTTTATTTGATAACATTCAATGTGAATTTGATTTACACATATATATTTGATTAAGTTATTTATGATTATTTTTAGAGCAGCCAATTTTTTTCGAGATCGTTGATCTCTTTCGTTTTTTTTTTGTCCTTTTTTTTTTATAGAGGAAGAGAGAAAGAATGAGAGAGAGAGAGAGAGAGAAGATAAAAAAATATAAGTAAGTAAGATTCGAAATGGAAACGATGGCTCGCGAAAGTTGGTAGAGTTTTCTATTTTATATTTACGCGTACATATTTATATGTATATAGGTTTGTACGTACGTACATACGTATGAGAATGACGACGATGAGTTGAAGGGTAAGGACAAGCCAATGCAAATTTGTTACTGGTGTATGTAAAATTAGACTGCACTTCGGCTCTCTCGTGTCCGAATTTTCGCGGTCGCTATATTTCGTAAAGAAATGCGTAACTGTATTTTAAAGAGACAAACAAAGATAAAGAAAAATAAAGAGAGAGAGAGAGAGAGAGAGAGAGAGATAAAAGAATTGCATACACGTTTCCGCGTTAAATCTATCACCATAATATAGAAATACATTTTGTATATAATGAATTATTTTAATCTATTATATTATTAATTAATTTAATCTATAATAATAAAAAACATTATAAGAATTAATAGATAAAAAACACAAAAAAAATAGTATAAGTAATTTATATAATATATACAATTTTTAGATATTATATTGAATTTTTATTGTATACAGGTT